TCTGGCCATCCTTCCTCCTTCTAAAGAGCTCTGCCTCAGGCCCTTCTTCCAGAAAGCCATCCCCTCATGAGAGGCTGTCACAATACTACATATCAATCTGTAGCAGCACATGTCACAGTTGTGATATGACTTCATTAATGACTGCCATTCCCCACTAGAATGAAAGCTCCATTTCTTTACAGGGACTATGTCTGTCTGTCTTTGCGAATAGTGCTTTGCCTATAGTAAGTGCTCATGGTATATACAGTTTTTTTTTTTGAGATGGAGTCTTGCTCTGTCACCCAGGCTGGAGTGCCGTGGTGTCATCTCAGCTCACTGCAACCTCCACCTCCTGGGTTAAAGCAATTCTCCTGTCTCAGCCTCCCAAGTAGCTGAGATTACAGGTGTGTGCCACCATGCCTGGCTAATTTTTTGTATTTTTTTTCAGTAGAGATGGGGTTTCATCATGTTGGTCAGGCTAGTTTCGAAATCCTGACCTCAAGTGATCTGCCTGCCTCGGCCTCCTAAAGTGCTGGGATTATATGCTCAGCATTATGATATATTAAATTAAAAATCAGGTTAAGAAACAATGTGGTGTGTAACTTTTTTTACATAAATATGTATATGTATACATAGATATCCATAGGTAAAAGCATATACAGCAGCAAAATATTTACCAGTGGTGAGACTGAGTGTATTTAATTTCCTATTTTCTTCTTTTTTTATCATATTTCTATAAGAAACAGATCTTATTCACATATTCGATTACATATACTTTTAAGATTTAAAGAACCTGCTTCCCAAAGTAATAACTGGTGCCAAGTATTAGTAGAGGTTCCATTGATCCAATATTATTTCAAACAGGAGAAAAACTGAAGATGACAACCCATGAATGCAATGTTGTATGTGCAAAACCAGTGAAGATGAGGTAGACCAAACTATAATACATAAAGAACAATAAGACTGATCAAACTATAAAATAGAGGACAGATATGTGCATGGGGAAAGGCCCCAGTGGCTGGAACCAGAATGCCCAGGTCTGAATTCTGAGTCCACCACTTAACCATCTTAGGACCTTAGACAAGCCACCTACCATCTCTGTACTCAGTTCGCCCTGTGTGAATAGGGAAGATGAACACAGTCTCTTCCTCATATGGCTGTTGTGCGAATTAAATGCATTAATATTCTTTTTTGTTTTTGTTTTTGTTTCTTTGG